AGCTTACCAGAATTTGAATCCTATCTCTGCCACAGATTAGCTCTGCAATTCTTGGCAAATTTTTTTACTTCTCTGCCTCAGTTTCCTCTTTTGCAAAATGGGGATAATGGTACCTAACTCATTATGTTGTTGGGAACATTTAATGAGTTAATGCATGTAAAGAGTTTGAAAACTTGCCTGACATACAGCAAGAGCTCAAGTACTGCCTAGACCCTGTTATCTGCAGGTTTAAGTTTTTCTGATTATGAAAATTGATACAAGCTTAATGTGCAAAAATTGAAAAGTAGAGGAAAAAATTAAGGAAATATAAATCACTTGTACCCTGCAACCCAGCACTGACCATTATTGAAATACATTGGTGTACTTCTTTATGATCCTTTTTTCTAGGCCTGTTAGTGAAATAGACCAGAGATCAGAAGTTTAAGAACAACTCATTAAATTTACTTCCTGCAGGGATATGTCTACAATTGTCAAAAGCAGTTGGCATTACATAAAAAAATAAGGTGCTTACTTAGGCCTAACAATTGCAGATAACTAAAAAAATAGGGTTGTAATACACAAACTGTTTTCTTATGTTTTCTGTCTTTAAAGATGTATTTCTTAAAAAGCACAGCTGTTCAGAAAACAGATTTTTATTTAAGATAATTAGTAAGCTTAAACAGTTTTCCAAACTGAGTCACAACACTTTCATGGCTCATGAAATTAATTGGTGATTTGTGACCATTCCCTTTTTTTATTAAAGCATCATTGATATACAATCTTATGATGGTTTCACATCAACAACACTGTGATTTCAACATTCACCCTTATTAACAAGTCCTCACCCCCTCTATTGCAGTCACTGTTTATCAGCATAGTAAGATTATATATAGAGTCATTATTTGCGACCATATTTTTTCACATTTTTTTAAATTAAGGTATCATTCATATACACTCTTACGAAGGTTTCACAAGAAAAATAATGTGGTCATTACATTCACCCTTATTATAGAGTCCCCCCCATACCCCACTGCAGTCACTGTGCATCAGTGTAGTAAGATGACACAGAGTCCCTATTTGTCTTCTCTGAGCTACACTGTGTGATCATTTTTTTTTAATGAAAACAATAGAAAAATATCAGAAGTAAATGCATGAAGTTAACGGTTAAGTATTGTTTCCTGAAACAACACTTAGGTATGAAAGTTTATGTATACTGATTAGGAAGAAAAAATGTACTCTGTACTGTGAATAAAAGAAAACATTCTTGAGTACGATTTGACCATCTGCTGCTAAACTGATAAATTCTGTTAACTATATACCTATACATTTTCTTTTTCCTTTTTTATTTGATTCTCACCCAGAAATGCCTCAAACTTAACTCATAGTTCTGGCCTACTCCACTAAGTTCTCTGCTGGCAATCAGTGAAAGTGCTAATACAGGAATTTATAAGCACCAGCTGCTCAAGTACTCGGCCCCTACCAGCACTTCCAGACCTAGAGCACTGTCTCTAAAAAAAAAAAAAAAAAAAAACTGCTTATGAATCCATCAGGCAACTGTCTTCTCTGGGCAAATACTGTTAACCACTAACTCAATGGAATCTTCCAGCATAAAAACAAGAACACTTTCCTCCATTCCTTTGCCATAATCTCTTTGGTCAGGGCTAATTACTACTTTCATGGAGATTGGATTCCTCCCTCATTTTTTCCATTTTCTAAATCTTTTTAAAAAGAACTGACAATACTTGAGGGGAAAAAATGAATGTGCTCCAACTTACAGGGGAAAAAGTATAAAAAGAAAAGAAAGGAGACTTCTAATTAGACAACGGAAAGGAATAGGATGGAAGACTCCAGAATAAGTCTGTAGAAAGAAAAACAAGAGACTACAGAATAAGGGCTTACAGCAGAATTTAAGAATCTTGATCAGTGATGTTTAAAGTCCGAAGAGGCTTGCAGCTCTTAGGCAGTGCTTGTTTGCACTACCCCAAGTGCAGGGCAATTGGTACAAATTACTCTGCACCCAAAATGTGCAGTTTCACAAACAAGGCCGATGAGGCAAGCTTTTTGCCATCTTTGCACACTATCTCCATATTTTTGTGGTGAAAAACTCCTTGATAAATCAACACTCACACCTTCCTTTTTCCTTCTTAAAATTACAACAGTCTCAACAAAAAAAAATTCAAATATAGTATTGGAGCAAATCAAAAGACTACCTTAAACTTTTCCTGGGGGGAACGCAGCAGCACGGCTTATTACGCAAAGAGCATTAATTTCAAAGGCCAGAACGACCTGGGCTCAAATTCCAGCCATATCAAGGACTAGCTTGTGACCTGGCCAAATTACTTCTCTCTGAGCCTCTGCTTCCTCATCTTTATCTGTCTTTTGTGGGCAATTTTGAGAATTAAATGAAAAGTAGAGCCTTACTATGCATAGCACACCCAAACAAAAAACCGAATTTATTTTCCGTCCAGACCACACTCCTATCAGTAACAGTAGCAACGCAGCTATGGCTCTGCAGTACTTCTCAGCTGGGGATGCACTGCAGAAGGCCAGAAAAAGGTAAAGGGGGTACCCCTCTAAGGAGGGGTCTGAGAGAGAAGGAGGGACAATGTACAGAGTATACCTGAATGTATCTCTATGTTTAAACACCTGGTGATTCTGAAATGTTTGTCCAAATGGCTTGTGTCTCTGTGAACTTCTAAATTAGGGAGTTGCTTGAGGAAATCCCATAAGTTGTTACCAGTGGATGGTGTCTTATAACACAAATTTACAACATTATCCTAAAATATCAGTTAATGCTATATAAGTACAACTTTACTGTATGATGGCATCTTTGGGTTTTCAAATATCTTGAACTGAACATACATAGGTTTTATTTTTTAATGAAATATTTATAATCACTTTAAAATTAAGATAAGTGGATTTTATACTATAATTGCAACTTCATATTATCTAAAGGCTTTCACAAATATATTAGCAACATTTTTAACATCAAGATCAAACTCATGATATTGCCCAAAAAAGGTAAGATTCTTGCCTTTGAAACAATCTAAATAAGCTTTAACACATAGCCACAAGATTGGCAAGTATTTTAAAGTCTGAAAATATTGAGTATCATTAAGGACAGAAAGCATCAAGCACTGTTGACAGGAGTTTAATCACTTTGGAAAAGAATTTGGCACTATCTACTAGGACTGAAGATGTCACTACCTCACAATCAAGGAATTCCACTCCTAAATGTGTATTAGACTTTCCGATATGTAGGAAGATCATGAGAGCAGTAATTTTTTAGAAATAGCAAGAATCTTGTAACAATCCCAATGTCTGTAAAGAGTAGAAGAGAGAAAACTAGAGTATCTATTAAATGGCATACTACAGAGCTATGAATATAAATGAACTAAGCCACATATTGGATGGATCCCAAAAACATAACATAGAGAAGAGAAAGGAAGTCATAGTGAAATTATCTCACTTAAGTAATCTTCAAAATCAAGTAGAACTAAACAAAATATAATATTCTTTAGGGATACATATGGTAAGATTATAAGGAAAAGCAAGACAATTGTTCATCAGAATTCAGAATATAGGTTACCTCTGTGGTGGTGGGGGTGAGCCACACCCAGGAGACATATGGGGGGTTCAAAGGGACTGTTACTTTGTGAGAACCTCTTCATTGATGATTTACTTCACAACACGAGGGTTTTTTGTTTGTTTTAGAAAACAGAACAGAAAACTGAAGTCACAGATGGAAACGTGCATAAAAAGCAAATAACAAGAGCCAAATGTATGCACTACAGAACAAACACAATTCTCACATTTAATATTTCTGGACTTCTCTATAAATAATCCTAGAACTTAGAAAAATTAAATGAAAAATTTTAACTCACCCAAAAAAGGCTTCAAGCTACCCTATAAAACTCGGCATTTCCCTAAAAAGGCAAAACCTTCCACTCCTGTGTTGACTGAAGCTCCTAATCTGGCCTCTAAACTTAAAGTTAAGCATCTTTTTAGTTACATTCAGCAACTTTTTTTTTTTTTACGGTATCATTAATATAAAAATCACATGAGCAACACTGTGGTTACTAGATTTCAGCAAACAACTTTAACTTTTCTTTAGCCATCTATCGTGAGGGGTAGTTTTATATTAGCACTAATCGCTGTTCCAGAAAAATAAGAAGCAAAATGTATGATCACACGCTCTGGGGTGGGTGGTCTGATGTGGAGCGCTGGTTTCTGAAATGCTTCATTTCAGAATCTGGTCTGCCTATCTTCCATTATACGCGAAAATACTTTGGCATGAAAGCAGTTACAAATATAATATAAAACGATGCATTTTCTCCTTTTCTGAAGCAAATGAAAATCACTAATTACCAAAGGCTTCACAATGCACAACATAGGATACCGATGGTAAGTCTTCAAAAGGAAACATGTCATTGCCTCCAAATGAAATTACAACCGAATAAAGTTTCTAAAAAACGTTTTTTTCATTTGTACCCTTTCCTGAATCTGACACTTTAATTTCCTGATGGTGGCACCAGGCCAAGCACCCTTAAGAACCCCCAACTTGTTCCTTAAGTCCCCCATTCCCTCCCTTCTACACCGCTGCCACGCCCCACGGTACCTGTCGTCTTAAACCATCTCCTCTACACAACCCCTCACCACACTGCCAGAAACGTCCACGTTCCTCTGCAGATCCAAACCTCCGGGCTCCCCGGCCTCCGCTCCGGCCTGGCGGGTCCCGGGCCGCGACCTCCACGCCCACACAAATGCACCCACAGACGCCCTCCGCTCCCCTCGCCGCCGCCCGCTCCAGCGCCAGGTGCTCGCTCGCCCCCTTCCAGGACTCGCTGTCTGCGACTGAGCCTCCTCGTCATGGCACCTGTGGTTCGGCCTTTCCACCTGCTTCCGGGTCACCGCCGGGCCTCCCCGGCCGAGCCCACCGGCCCCGCCAGTTCAGCCCAGCCCGGCCCGGCCCGCTAGGCCCCGACACAGGCCCCGCGGCCTCTGCCTTCCTTTCTCCTCACCGTGCCGTCTCCGGGACCCTCGTCTCGGGCCGCCCCTGCTTCCCCGCCGACCGCGGCCTCCAGCCTAGCGTCGGGGTGACCCAGCGGCTCTAGGGGCGCCGGCTGTAACTGCCGCTCGGGGTCCGGAGGTACTTGCTCCATGGCCGCTGTTCGGCGCGGCCAACCCAGTGCGCCTGCGCCGCCAGGGCCCGCCCTGGTCCCCCAACCCGCGGCCGCCCGCCCCTCCGCCCTGAGCGACGGAGTCCCTGAGGGCAGTGGGCGTGGGCGTGGGCGTGGCTCGGGGCGGAAAGGCGGTCTGAACGCAGCTGGTCAGCTGCCGAGTCCGCAGACCCAGGACTCGGGAGATCTGGCAGGGAAAGAGAGAGAGAGACGAACTGGGGGGCAGGGGAAGACAGAGCAGGTGTTGGAACCATTCAATACGTAGGTGCTGGTGATCATCGAAAGAAAATGTGGCACTCACGGTGTCGGCCGCGGTCCGACAGTCTCCGTCTCGATCTTGCTTGCCATTATTGGTTCCATTTTTTTTCGTGGAAAGATCAGAACGGCATAAATTACTAACTTTCAGCAGGTTGAGAAGCACACATTCAGCAAAAGGTAACACCCAAGTTTTTGAGAGACGTGAAGTGTTTGGCTGAAGCGGTGCTTGAGTTCTGTTGTTTCTCGAAGCCCTGGAGATCTCTGATAATTGTCTGCAAACATCTCTCTAAATTTTCAGAACCTGCTTCCTTGACAAGCATTCCCTATGATAACCTGATGGGAAACACTCCTGGGTGCACCAGACTGCGGTCCCTTGGGATGCCTTTTATACAAAGTGTGGTCATCAATTTTACAAGGAAATAAAATGATCTTTCTGCCCCAATTAGCTATTTCAAGCTGTGACACACAATTTGCTCTTCATGGAATGCTCTCTCTGCCTCAGTGGCAAATTTCCTATTTATTCCTAAAACCTCAAGTTCAGTCATGTCCACGTGCTATTATAACTATTCATAAATCGGTTATGACCTTCCCATACTATTTTTAAATTATTTGTCTTCCTGTCCCAACTAAATTTTGAACTCCTTTAAGGCAAGGATCCTATCTTATTTCTTCTCTATTACCAAACCAAGGGCATTTGCTTAAACATTTAAAGGCATTTTATCAGTTTATCATTTATCAGTTTATTCGTGCTACACAAATTCTCAGGTAACATTTTTAAATCAAGATTATCTTACTATCACAGGAGGTGTACACATCTTTCCCCAACACATTTGTATCAGTTAGCCTGTGCCCATTTAGCTTTGAGATACCCAGCAAACTAGGTCCTAGAGCCATCAGGAAAATTGCTCTTACATGATTTGTTTTTTATGTAGGTTCTCATCTATGACTTAGTTTTTCTGTTCTCGGTTTTCTAAAAAAAAAAACCTGGTGTTGTGAAGTAAATCATCAATGCACAGGTTCTCACAAAGTAACAGTCCCTTTGAAGCCCCCATATGTTCTCCAGGGTTGCAGCTCACCCCCTCCTCCACAGAGGTAACCTGTATTCCGAATTCTGAACAATTGTCTTTTCCTTATGATCCTACCATATGCATCCCAAAACAATATACTGTTCAGTTTTGATTTTGAAAATTACTTAAGTGAGATAATTTCACTGACTTCCTTCCTCTACTGAATGTTATGCTTTTGGGATCCATCCAATATGTGGCTTAGTTCATTTATTATTTTTTTATTAAGGTATCATTGATATACACTCTTATGAAAGTTTCACAAGAAAAACAATGTGGTTACTACATTTACCCATATTATTGAGTCCCCCCTCATACCCCATTGCAGTCACTGTCCATCAGTGTAGTAAGATGCCACAGAGTCACTACTTGTCTTCTCTGTGCTACACTGTCTTCCCCATACCCCCCCACCCAACACCATGTGAACCAATCATAATACCCCTCAATCCCCTTCTCCCTCCTCCCTTCCCACCCTCCCCCACTTCAGGGCTCTGTAGTATGCCATTTTATAGATACTCTAGTTTTCTCTCTTCTTCTGTTTACAGAGATTGGAATTGTTACAAGATTCTTGCTATTTCTAAAGAATTAACTGCTCTCATGATCTTCCTACATATCTCTTGGTGCAAATACCTAAGAGTCTAATGCAAATTTAGGAATGGAATTGCTGGATTATAAGGTAGTAGCGCATTCAAACCCAGGAGGCAGTGTCAAATCATTGGGAGGAAGCACTGCAGCAGGTCATTGGCCAAGGTATTTTAGGGTGAGTCTTGTGGCACCCCTCAATTAATATTGTCCATATGAGTAACAGCTTACCTGTAATGGTACTTTGCAACCTCAGAAGAGTCTGGCAATTGACTCTCTAGAAATAGAGAATTTTCTTTGGTATTTATGAACTGTCAAACCACTTCATCTTTGTTTGAAAACTAACACTGCCTAAAAGGTACTAAGGATCTATTACATGATTCTGAGGGTTTTGTGTGTGTGTTGTTTTTTGTTTCCCCTTCTTATCCAAAATCATGTTAAATCCATTTGGGTGTTTTGTTTTTGAGACTTCTTTTAGGAGTTCACAAACAGAGATCATATTTATTCCCCCTCCCCAACCAAAACATGTAGAGGCTCTGCTCTGAGAAGAATAAAACAGATCCCACCTGGGGAAAACCTGCCTATATGATACGGTATTGCTGCCAGAAATCTCATCCAACTAAAAAAAAAAAAAAAAATCTCATCCAACTGTGTTTGTTTATAATGAACAAATTAGTAATAGAAGAAACCTAGGTACATGCATATGTAGTCAATGTTTTAAGGGTACTCGGATTGTTTTAATCAGATATGGTAGGACATGCAGAAGGAAGAAGGTTTTTATATCTACAGATCCCTAGAAACAGCAGGGCTGTCCCATGCATGGGGACCACACAGAGAAGGAGAGAGGGGGAAACATGGGGACCAGCCTTTACTGTGGTTTCTGTGGGAAGAAACAGGTGAGGCAGGATAAAATGGCTAGATTGAGTAGTTGCAGAGGGCTCTGGGGTGTAGGAGTTGTCCCTAGCTGTCTAGTAGCTGGCCCTGGAGTTAGAGCAGGGGAATTGTGGTGGCAGGGGAAGCCAACCAAGGAGGCAGTTGAGAATGTGGGCTCTGCACTGGTCTGTTTGCATCTGAAAGATATGCCAGGAATTGGCTAGCCCTGAGAGCAGCAGTCTCCCAACAGCCAGCAAGGCCCAAAGATATCAAAGTGTCAAAAAAACATAATAAAATGTCATGACTGAAACATTCACAGACACATAGACTTGCACTAACATATACAGTGTCATATATATGTAGTGACATGTCGACAAAAGCATAAAATCACAATCAGATCAAAAGGGACATCAGACACCAAGTCCAACTTTTTACCTGATTCTTGAACTTGCTACCCATATTCCCAGTATACAGTACTCCAGACATTGGTTTCTAAACAGTACCATGAACAAGAAGCACACTGTTCTCTAAATGAACTTTATTTTCTTGCTAAACAATGTATATCATCATTTTTAAAATTCAGAAAATATCAACAAGCAAAAAGAAGAAAATAAAAGTCCTCCATAACACCGAGATCCAGAAACAATCACTTTTTATATATTTGAACAGTCTTTTCCCCATGGATATGTTCAGAAATATAATTCACGAAAGTAGGATCATGTTACATACAATGTTTTGTATGAAACCAGCTCTTTTACACTCAGTACTATACCGTGAACATCTTTGCTTGCTTAGACTTGCCTTTCACCTATGACAGGAAGCTGGATCTAAGAATGGTAACTGCATAGCCTGAATCTGCACTCGTAACAGGCTTATCCTCCAAAAGGCTGTGCTGGATTACATTCCCACTAATGTTTTGAGAATGCACATTTCTCGTCACGACCACTGGTTCTTTTTGTAATCTTTGCCAGTTGGAGAGACAGAAAAAAGGGTAATCTCGTTGGTGTTTTAATCCTAATTCGTTTTTATTACTTGGACTTCACCACCTCCGAGACAACTATTTCTTCTTTGCTTAGTTTTGGCTTCTTCCATATATTGAACTGACTTTGTCTCCACAAAAATTTCAACTATTTTTAGCCCATCTTTTGGCAGATCTATTAAAGTATTCTGCGTCTATTTTCTTAACAGATATTAAGTCTATATATAAAGATATATAAGTAGTATCTTGTGTAATTTGTCAGGTCTTGATACTCAGGTAATATTGCCCTCATAAAGTGAGTTCAGGAGTGCTACCTTCTTCTCTATTCTCTGATAAAGTCTGTGTAAAATTAGTGTTGTTTCACAGAGTCTTCTTAGGGTTAACTAAGATAATAATGAGATAATGCAAGACAAAGTGCCTACTGTAATCCTAGAAAATAGTGGACATCAGAGAATGTTAGTTTTCATTATTAATAGTAAGAATTCCCTGAGGCTTCCACATACAGTAAGGAATAAGCTGAATTATCCCTGATTCGTATATGGAGAAACTTGTTCATAAATGTGGAAACAAGAAGTATCTCTTTATGTTCAGTGCTACTACAATATCTGTTAAAATTAATGTTAAATAGTATAGGCTTTTTTTCTGGATTTGCTATAACCTGGTAAAGAATCCTACCAAGCTATTCAGGGCGCTGGAAATGCCTAAACGGATCGAAGGCCCCTTTCCCTCTTGCCCCTCACCTCAACACTTGTGCACACAGGCTCGCTCTCTTTTCCTGTCAGCCTCCCGATCTTTTATTTCCTCCCCAACATAGCTTCAAGATCTTTCTTATGCAGAGAAATCTATTGCTTCTTTCCTCTTCTTCAATTCTACATCTCTGCTCATAACCTTGCTCTCAACAACAAAGAATCCACCTTAAAGCAGGGGGTTTTGAAGTTGTATATTAAGTGCATACACATTTATGATTGTTGGGTCTTTCCAATGGTATTGATATTTTTTATTATTATGGAGTATCTCTTTGTGAATACTCTTTGTCCTGAAGTCTATGTTGCCTGATATTATTATGGACACACCAGCTATAATGCTTACCGGGGGCAGAGGAAAAGGAAAGGGAAGATTTGGTAATGACAATACTTTGCTTTTCGGGTTTTTTATATTTTGGTATCTGCCACACATATGCATGTGCATATATACTAAATGGATAGAAAAAGGGACTGAGGGGAACGGACCACATGGTTATGGTTTGGGGAGGAAAAGCTCCAAGGGGGGGTTT